TATATATATATATACATATATATATATACATATATATACGTATATATTTATATATATGTGTGTGTATCTTACTATATACAACATAACAAATATTGAATGGAATTTGAACTTATAATGACGCACTATATGTGTAATTGCAAAGAGAAATATGAGATTCTTTTTGTTGGCCTAATTTAGTTTTCTTTTTCACATTCCCTATTATGGCACTCATATTTGGTAAAAAGTGGAAGACGATGGCTCGTGTGTAGCGCTATACGAATCGTCGCAAATGTATGTACAAGACGTGTGTAAATTTCATTAGTCTATTAGCATGTGTGACTTGCCAGTTAATAAAAATTTAATCTAATAACTGCATAAATAAATTGAAACATAAAGACTAAACGGCGGGAGAAAAAATATTGATAAATATACTGCTCAAAGCAATTAGTGGAACATTTTTTATCGACAAAAGTTAAAATCAGGCTCAATCAAATTAAATTTAATCTAATTTGAGAAATGCCAATAAAGAGCCAATATTGACACTGGATGGATAATGTGTATAAATTATATATTATTACAATAAAAACGTTAATACATATAGGTAGATGTCCAACTCTTATTTTGGATTCACTTCAATACAAAATTAATAAGTGAAAATAACATTATTCGAAATTTCTGATAAAATTGTGGAAAGCCAAAAAGAAGTAATGGATGATCAGTATAAAATTCAGTCATCGAGACAAAACATAAAACGTTGCAAAGTTAGTCAAGCGGTTTTTTTTAAGTATTTGATAGAGTACTTTAAATACGGAAGTCAAGAGGTAAGTTATGTCAAAATATTTTCATAGAAATGTTACATAAGAGATGATGTGTACTGTTCGAGATTAGAAGAACTTGTGCTCCAACCTCTATTAGCATTTCTCAAATTAGATTTTTTATCAAATTTATGATTTAATAAATCTAGTAGATTTTATATATTTTTTTTTAATTTATAATTTTAAACATATTACGTATATACAGGGTGTCCAAAAAATCGCCCGCAATACTTCAGGAAGATGTGATTCGAAAACCCCCCAAAAAAAGAGAAAAACTACATAAACATATAGATCCGGAAACAAGTCGTTTCCAAGTTATTGCCACTATTATGTTTAAAGAAATCGTAATATTGTCATAATTATATTGATCATATTGTCACAATCCTATTAATCATAATAATTATGATTAATATAATTATGACAATGAAAAATAAATTTCGATTTTTTTAAGTTATAGCTACTTTTATGTTAAACCGTAATTTATTTTTTATAATCATAATTATAATAATCATAATTTATTATGATTATTACAATTTTTTACGATTATTTTAACATAAATGCTATAACTCGGCTAACAACTCATTTTCGGACCCTTAGCTTTTTTCTTCTTTTTGAGTCTCGAATCATTTTCTGAAGTACTGCGAGCGATTTTCTAAACATTCTGTGTATTTTAATTTTTTGAACATATAATATATTTTTTGAACATACATTGACGTTAATGATATAGAATTTTTTAAAGAAATGATCTCGTTTGATTGTTTTGAGCAGTGTAATAAAAATATTTTCAATCATACATATCTCCGATGAGTATTATGAAAGATAACACAGTATAATCGCTTCAGCTGATAGCTAATTCTCAGAGTTCATCATTAAAACGTTCGATATCTTGCAAATGATCGCCATAGTCCGTTGCTTCGCTGCCTACGAAAGCATCATGATGATCCAAGATTTCATCATAGGATAATCTGTTGTCGTGATCATCGTCTGAACCCGCAAATAGATGGTCCACTTCATCGTTTGCTATTTCTCTGAAATAAACGTCGATAAAAACATAACATGAAAAAGAGTAAAATTGCATTATCATGAATATCAGCAAAATAATATTCGTAATATAATGAAGCTTAAATTTTTTAACGAGTAATTATTACGAAATTCATTAAAACTTGTATAAGACAATGTTGACATAGTAATATAAAATTATGTTATAATGGAATGTGTTTTTAAAATATATAATAAAATAGTAGTAATATATATAATTATGTAGTAAAATATGTAGTAAAATATATAATTATAAATATAGATATGTGTAAATATTGATACGCAAATATAAAAAAAGAGAAAAACTATTACCATTACAAACTCTATTATTTGAGATTATCATTTTTGGAATTCTAATACTGAATAAAAATTTGCTTGTGTTATAATGAAATTTTATAATTCCACATATTACAGTGTACTCACTCATTACTCGGAACGAGCCAAGAAAGAATTTCATCCGAATCGAGTCTACCGTCTCCATCCTTGTCATGCTCGTAATCAAATTTATCTTTCTCAGATAGCAACCATTCTTTATCTTTTGATTTGGCTCTGTCACCAATAAACTCTTGGAAATTAATGTATCCATCTCCATCCATATCTTTGTCAGCCAAGGCTAGTTTCAATAAAAGCGGAAACATTCTAGGTGTTTCCTCAGGATGTGTGTAAGCTTTGAACTCCTCCCCATCTAAATAGCCATCTTTGTTTAAATCGGCCGCCTCGAATGTCAGCTTGTCGTCGTGGATCAATTTATCGTCAACAGCCAGATCTTCGGGATCGTTACCATAAGTATCCTGTAAAACTTCATCCCAACTCACTTTACCATCTTCATCCGTATCAGCGTCGTCCAAGCGATCCTCAGATTCTTCCGCAGACAGCATGCTGTTTACGAAATTCAATTAATCTAAGTCCTTCTAAAAATTGTATGGATAAACGCATGACAAGGACACCTACCTAAATGAACGCAAGATCCAGGCTTTCAATTCGTTCCTCTCTATGTACTTGTCATTATTCAGATCCATCTTGGTCAGTAAAATCCCTAATCTCCTCTTTGATTCTTCTATTGGAAGTTTATCGAATTCTTCTGCCGTTTTTACGCTTCCTGCAACAGATAAGCTCAGTGTTACGCCTTTCTTTTGTGAAACAGTGGGTAAAGTCGGAGTCGCACTACTGATCTTAAACCCTCATCGAGGATACACTGACACTTGAAGAAGAAGAAGAAGAAAACAAATAATGAAATAAAATCTTCATGATGACAAGCAATTGAACAGAAGTATAGGAGGTGACAGTGAAAGTTCTCATTTCTTTTCTTCGTTGACAATCTAATTTCCATAAAAGGAACTTTCAATCTTCGAGACAAGGCAATACATGGAGCAAATTACGAATATTATCTTCAATTATTATTCAGAGATACAAAACCGAAGCAAATAAGATTCACGAGGACGTCAGGAGAGCTCGGGGTCCAAAAGGTTGGTCTTGAAAACTCGTCACGTCCAGTCTCTCATGTCCATACCTAGGATGGCTTCATGGTCAAACTCCTGGTGATGCTCGCCCTCCGCGTAGTGGTCGGCGTCGCGGGGGCTGAAGGCACCGTCCTCCGTCCTCTCATTGCTGTCGGCTTTGTTGTGCTGATGCGTGTGGATGTGCGCGGAGGCGGTGTCGCCCAGGGCTGGCAGCGATGCGGCAAGCGCGACGACGAGGAGCAGAGGTGCGAACGGTCGGACGGCCATCATCGTGCGTTTGTCCGGGAGCGGCGGGACGATTGAAAATAACGTGCCTGCAATGTTTACAGGCGACGTGAGCGCATAACCTTGTCACGTCGCGTCGGATCGAGGCTTCAACAGGCGCCGCGCGGCGCTTTGCCGGTCGACTGACGTTCCGACGAGGCGGCTATCACGGCGGATATTATCGATTACTTTCCATTACGCATGACGCGAGGAAAATTTTCATGGGTGTCTAATTGTATCCCGGAGACCGCGTTTTCAGAGCGAGAAATGTAAGTGCGGAATATTCTTTGGAAAATCGCGTTATATATATATATTTTTTAATATTGGAAAAATAATTATTAAATTACTTTTATATTTTTTATATATTATAAATAAAATTGCCATTTTTGTTTAAATCGGCAGCCTCGAATGTCTTGTCATCTTGGATCAATTTATCGTCAAAAGTCAGATTTTTGGCTTTTGAAATACAATTATTAAGAGACGACGTCAGCTTTATTGATTTTAGTTTATTATCTTTGCAACGTTCTAATATTTAAAACTTATATGATTGTTCCTACGAAATAGTTAATTATACTATTTATCTGTGCTTTATTCTCAATTTATATCAAACAAGAAAATAAGAAATCAAAGGATTATTATTATATGAGTACTGTGTTTCTCGTATCTTTGAATGTGGCGCTACGCCTGCGCGAACGATCGATCATCGAAATTCTCTGAATGTGTTTCTTTACCGCGCGAAGATTCGCCGCGATCGCTCTGACGTTGTCAACTTTTGAATTTTCACTGCGCTACCACTGCGCCGAGTCGTCGCCGGAATGGCGTTGCGGGCTGACGCCGAAATCGCGGTGCCGCGCGTAAAAATTAAGAATCTCACCGCGTGCCGTTCTTTTCGCGTCTTCACCGCGACGATTGTGTCGTTTACGAAACTTCGCGTGTGGGTCAGCTTATCGTTCGCGTGCGTCGGTCGAACTCGCGTCGCGTTATTACAGTCGCGTACGTATACACTGACGAGTGAGGCTCGCGATCGTCGAGTGTCGGCGACGAAAAGGAAGTGATCTCGCGCCGGACGGCCTCCTCAGTCGTGACGCGTGTGCGAAGTCACGATCTGCCGTCATCCGTGGGGGATGAGGCTCACACGCCGGGCGGTCGGCGTTCGAAAATAGTCGGGCCGGCTATCGACGTCGCGTATCGTCGCGTCTATTTTCAACTTCGTACGAGCGTCGGTGTGTGTGCGCGCGCGCGCGGCGAACCGGCCGATCCTCTCGAGCGCGTAAAAGTCAAAAGTTTCTTTATTTATAAGCTCCGGATCGATAAGGCCGATCCGGTATCTTCGTCGTGGGCGGACGCGCTCGTTCCGGCATCTTCTCGCTGCTGCAGCGTTTCCCGGCGTGCGATGGGAACAACCTGTGTGTGTGAGTTTGTTTCCCACTTCTATCTTTTCTTAATTCGAGCATAATGATGTTGAACGTTATTACAATGCTCGCGATATTGCGATGTCGCAATACGTTTGTTAATTGAGAGCAATGTCATTTGTAATATGTATCGTCAAACTTCTCGGGCGATTTGTGCATAAATTTTGCAACATGATGGTGGTTGCGAGGAAAATTTTAATTTACAAGAATTGCAATCTGTTTCGAATGCACGCGAAATCGCTTATCTGCTTAGACCGCACTGTCGGTAAATGTTATGAAGTGTAGATAACTTATATTGGAAATAAATGTCAACCGAATGTCGATACGACGAAACATAGCTTTTTTCGACTGTCGATAATTTATCGTTTTGTGATATTATCCCAGATAGCACACAGAACCCAAAAGAATTCATTAGTATATATTCAGTTTTATGTCATCAATTCTGAGTTTATTTTTAGGTGCAAAAAGAATCCCTTTTAGAAAAAGAATTCTTTTTGCATTTGAAAATGAACTCAGAATTAGTGATTGTGTGAACTGCGTTTTTTTTCATTCTTTGTGCTATCTGGGATATCATTAAATATTATATTTTTTATGATATAAATTGGAAAATCATTTTAAGAATTTGATAACAAAAAAATTTCTTGTATATTGAAAAATATTTCTTCAATCGTTTGTTACTCATTAATAGAGAAATATTCTTTCATTATATTGATATTATTATGTTGAGGATACATAGAAATTTGCATATCATATTTATATACTTGATTTGATTTTTAGTGATTTGTTTCTATATTATTTATAACGCTTTAACAACTGTTAGGCTTGTATCGTTTAAGTAATTTATTTGAATTTTTTATTTATATTTGAATTATTGTAATGAAATGGAATTCTAATCCCAAGGAATTCTAACAAAAGTAACTTGTTTCTGCAAAAACGGTTTAGATAAACAAAGACTTTATAGAAAGACTTTAGATACGTAGCCAATAAAGTATTGTAAAAAATATTAATTTTTGAATGTATATATTATTGGAAAATTATAAAAATGCTGTATGCAAACGCATTACTTTTTAATAACATTAAATAACGTTATTTTTTAATAACAGAATTTTTATAGCTTGTTTAGAATATATTTTTCCTCAAAGAAAATATTAGAGCGTCCACTCTTCCACGGTTCTTAAATAATTAACGATCGAAAGCAAATCTTCTAAAGAATCAAATTTCAAGGAAAAATAAATGATAAAATCATATTCTCCAATTATTTTACAATTAAAAATGGATTTTATTTGAACAGATTGATTAATGCTGATTTAAATAAATCGTGATAAATAATGATATTTTACATTTTCGATCTGAGGATAACAGGATCGATGTAAATTGATTTTATATATATACACAATCAATCGCTATATTAGATCAATCGCTAAGAATTAATCTAATTGACCTATATATGATATCTATTATTAAAATATATTACTCTAAAAAAATTAATATTCTGTTATTATATAATATATAATTGAATATATTTTGACATATAACATTATATATATTTATGTGATAGGAGACTAATATTAGTATTATACAACTGCGTATTATTCATACGCATTACTTTTTTTACGTGGTCCAAATTATTTTCGCGTCGCATCTTACACAGCTTTGCTTGCGGGCATTTACATTATTTTCGTCGCATTTCCGCAATATTCCTTTTATTATGTTAATTAAATTCTGGGGATATTAATCTCTCCCGCATTTACACCGACACGCGGGGAACTCGAATATCGCGCGCGCGAAATCTGTTAACGGTTGTGATTATTGAAATATGCGTTTAATTTCGCGGAGCGTGACGCATTGATATACGATATTTTACGTTGTAATATACATCCCGTGCCAAAAACTCCGAATTGTCGCTATCTTTTGTGTTCATCGGCCAATCGTATGTAGATTATCAAAGGGCGAACGGTTAGAACTGATTGGCGGGACGGAAATACGGCTGTTTTGCATCAACGTGCCCAACGTGAACGGACTTCCGGTCTTTTCTGGGGTTCCGTGAAGAATCTAGGATCAAAGAAATTCAGTGTTGTCCCTCTTATCTCGAAAGGATACGCTGCTATCTTAGAATTTTATCTTAGAAAACTCCCTCATACTATGAGTTTGTTTCGAAAATTATGAAGTGAAATATCTAATACAAATACGCACAGTTAATAGAGGAACAATTCGTCAACCCGTATAATAAAATTCGATCAGTTTCGCATCGTGAATATCTATTTGCGTAATTTCTCGCATTTCGTTTCGCCCGAGCGTGTTTGCGATGAGACGGGGATCTACGACGATGTGCTTGCATGCGATAGTTCTCGGCGGGGCAAGAGAGATATCGGGGAAACGCCAATGTGAACGCGGGCGCGTTGCGGCGTTCCTTCTGACATTCAAATGTTGGCCGCCGCCAATGAAAAAGGATACGTACGAACCCGACACCGCCTATTCATCGCTCAAAGGGATCATTTATCAACATATTTGATATGCTCCCCACACCCACCCCCTTTTTAGACCGATGTAGAGTCGCGAGCGCGTTCTCTCTCTCTCTTTCGTGCGCGCGCGCGCTTTCTGTTCGCTCTCGGCTTCCATAGAAATAATATGCTAATCGCGCGAAGGCGGAGTTTAAAAAGTGCTCCGATAAATTCTCGAGACTTTTGACGTAATTTCGCCCCTTCTCACCGCAGCCGCAACGTCTTCCGAAAGATTCTTTTTGCGCGCGCTTTCCGGCGTCTTGAGAGAACTTTACCTTACCGCGTAACGTGCCCCCGGTATACATATATCATCGAAGGGATATACTTCTCCCCGTAAGATCCTCCTATAGATCCCCCGCATTGCATCGCGTTTGGCGATCCTTTTTTTTCCCAAATATCAAAATATCTTATCGGTAAGCACGGGACGTCTCTGCAATGAATATTAAATCGATAAGAAATGAAACAAACCTTGGATCTTTGGAAAACTGCATGGAATTAAATTCATGATATTGCAATTAAATTACAAATTATAATAATGTGTGTTAAATTATCTCAAAATTAAGTTATATCGAAATACGTTTCTTGTTGATTCTCAAATAATCAAATGTCATACGTTTTGCGAGAAATTTGTTTACAGCGCGCGTGGAGATTCTTCTCTCTGCAGCTAAAATTTTTCAAGAAAATATATTCGCATGAGTTTGCTTTTTTAACTCGCCTCGAAACGAAAGTATTCACAGAATAGAGAAATTGAGTTACACATGTCTGATCGGCTAACAAAACCCCGTTGAAACCCGAAACCTTCCAGTTTTCTGTTATGCGAGCGTGCCCGTGCGCGTGTCGGAGCGGCGTATAAGTGATTGACGCGGAGCGCTAAGATCATTTACAAATCCCCTCATCGGCACTTATGCGCGCGGTGACGCATACGCACATATTTATGCACCCCTGCCCCTTATATGCCGCGCGGCCTCATACATACATCGGTCATATTAGCCGCAAAAGCCTAAACGCCTCGATGCCGAGAAACGGCCTTCGTTTATTTAAAAGCGCTCATATTTTATTGAAACTCGAAATTAGCGCATTCGATGAAGATCATATAATTGAACCAAACGTTATATTCTTCATATTATTTATATTTTTTATTGTATTTATATTAGTATTGTGTCTATCTTTTTAATTCTTTATTGCTTCGATTTGATTCCTTTTCCCCGCATCTTGAGAGCCTTTTCATCACTATTTGTTAAACAACAAAACTTCGTCAATGTTTGCATCGTCATCGATCGTCACAGATCCCCATGTCGGACTAATCGTCCGAACGTTTAATTTCGAAACGCCACGTCAGCAAGAGACACTTTCAAGCATATTGAGACGGGATCCGCGGCCGAGATCGCCATTTACTTTAAGCTCTCCTTTCCATATTTATCTCGATCTATTTCATTACGGCCACTTCGCGGGCGTTCCTTTTTCCGTCTTCTCTTCCACCGAGTGTCTTTCAGTTAGGATTACGACTCACTCTCCCGGGCGAACGAATGGCCGCACGGTTATTAGGATCACCGCCGGCGCAGATTGCTTTTGCGCGAGCCCAGAATTTATGGATGGCGATGATAAAGTCCCACGGAATCATAATCGAATGTCTTTCACAACGATCCCGTTTGGAAAGTTCCCCGATGCGATGACGACTGTAAATTCCTCGTCCCATTGGATTTTGCTTTCTTAAACAGAAAGAAAGTCGCGAAATTGATTTGATCGACGATGATTTCAATTTGTTATTTGAGTTCTATAGCTTATGAATTGCACACACGTGGTTGTTTAATAATAATTTTAATTGTATATACATTAAATAATATTATGTTCAAATACTACATTAATAATTATTGTACTAAAATATTAATTAATAATAAATACCAGAAGATAAAGTAGCATTTTTTTTAGATTGATGATTTTAAAGAAAAGAAATAATTTAACTTTCATAATAATTATGACACAATAATTTTATAAATACCGCGGAAATTGATAAAATGTAAATATATAATTTATAAAAGTATATATATTAATATTAAAATATATTTTAATTTTTTTAAGATAATCACGTTTCTGGATTTAATAATGTAATAATAGTTTCGAATCTTGTGATTTTGAAAAATTATATAAAAATTGAATTTTCTTTAGGATTTTTTAGGGCTATCATTCTCATTTTTCATTGGTCTTTTTCTCCAAAGTGAAGCAACATATCCCAGAATACGTCGTATAGTAACTGCCATAGTATCCGAGGTTTCTTCCTTCCCCCTGACGGGGCATACGCCCCGCGATTTAAGTCGTCAACTTTTATGGGGGTAGTTTTCGCGGAGACGGTCCGCGACAAGCCAACATAAAAGGGGGTGGAAGTTTCCGGTAATATGGCGTCTTCTCGCGGAATATGGCGGCAACTGTATACAAGAGATAGCGACAATATTGAGGCGGCGAGAGCGCTCCAAAGAAAAACCGAGTCGACCGAGCCGTACT